CCCCAAAACCCCAAAACCCCAAAACCCCAAAACCCCAAAACCCCAAAACCCCAAAACCCCGGGATGGGGATTTTTAATTGGAATTTTAAAGATGAAGGAGAGTGAGGAAGTGGAGAGGGAAGAGGGGGATTTTGGGGATGTGAAGACGGGGAGGGTTAGGTCAAGGGATTATAGGAGGAGGAAGAAGGAGTATATTGGGGGGTTGGAGAAGAGGAATGAACAGCTTGTTGAAGAGAATAAAAGCCTTAGGGCTGAAGTTTCTAATCTGAAGACTCTTGTGAAGGATTATAAAGGAGGGCGGAGTTGTGAGAGAGGGTTTAAAGAGAAGATGAAGATTCATGAGAATTTTGCGTATTATCAGATTCCAAAAATGCTGAGTGAGAATCCTGATAATGTAAGATTGAGCCAGCTTACAATGGCAGCAGGTGATATTGCTGAGTGGAACAGCGACAGGGTTCAGGTTATTAAGAATGCATTTGCAGATATTATGGAATATATGATATCTAAGGATAATAAATGCTACGTAGCAGCGAGTAAGAATATGAAATTTAGTGAGTACCTTAAAAGAATGAATAAAAAGAGGGCTATCAAAGGGAAATGGAAAGAGCTTAAAGAGTCTGATCCAAAAGAAGTTGTACTCAATATGAAATTTTCAGACACTATGCTTGAGTACATGCGTAAGAGCGGAGCTGGCCATTTGAAGGGTTCTAAGTATTGAGGCAAATTGGTCAGAAAATTGCTCACAGTTCGTAACGAGATCTTAAATTTCTTACAATCAAGGGAGAAGTATATGGAAGATACGCATTTTATGGACTCTTGTAACAAGAGAGATTATATTTCAATGTGTGAAACTGTATCTAAGCTTGATGGAACTAAGTACCTTTCTCCTCACTTTTTATGGGATCTCCCAGTGCGAGATCCGTCCTCTGAAGAGTTCAAAGATTGTGAATTATCTGAGCAGGAAGAGAATATTGTCTAAGTCTCCAATAAAAAGATTTTGATTAAGTTATTGAGAAGTTTTGAGTGTATTTTTATTCTTTAGTTTCAAAAATATCAATAATAAAAGGGGTTTTGGGGTTTTGGGGTTTTGGGG